AAGGAAAGAGAAGCAGTCGCAGCCTCACGACCCACTCATCCCGCGAGCAGACCGGCGAGTCCTCCGTCGTCGCTGCAACTCCCAGCGACAATCCACCCGTCGCGATCGACCCCCGGCAGGAAACCGCACCCCGACGAGTGGGCTTAAGACAATTGCCGTGAGCTTCTCTTTAGCCGCAGCGGCCATCGTTGGAAGGTGACCAAGCAGCGCGTGTTTTGTGTGAAGAAGAGAGAGAGGGGGGGAGAGGAGAGAGACGTAATTGATGAGAAGTAATGGATGTAAAGTTACCATATAAATAAGAATTCAACTTTTTAGGTATATAAAATAGTTATTCCATAGAGCAGTTGGACGAAATAGTTATTCCATAGAGCAATAGGTATATAAAATAGTTTTTAGCTTCTCATCAATTACGTGGTAGAAAGCTTGAAAAATAGTTATTCCATAGAGCAGTTGGACGAAATAATTAGAGATATAAAAGAAAAGAGACTTGATAGTTCCTTCTATCAGGAATCAAAAATCGAGTGGATATTAAAAGGGGGCGCGTAGCGGCCAATTTCCAGGAATTTCGTCGATGGGCTTAAGACAATCGCCGTGAGCTTCTCTTTAGCCGCAGCGGCCATCGTTGGAAGGTGACCAAGCAGCGCGTGTTTTGTGTGAAGAAGAGAGAGAGGGGGGGAGAGGAGAGAGACGTAATTGATGAGAAGTAATGGATGTAAAGTTACCATATAAATAAGAATTCAACTTTTTAGGTATATATGTAAATAAATATAATAAATTTAGTTAATTTATAAATAATTATATAGAGAATGTAATTATGTAATATTTTCATATTGTTTAAGTGGAGGGTGTAATTTCCTCAATTTTATAATATTAAAAGGCCGAAATTTATATAATTAAGTTGGTCCGAATTAATTTATTCGAAAGGACCAAAAATTAATTCGAACAGGCCGAAACAATTATCTCCAATTGGGCCGAAACAATTAGCAATAATTGGCCGAGAATGTACAACCAAATTGGGCCGAGAATTAAATAATCCAAATGGACAGAAATTGGAACTCAATTGGGCCAAATGAATAAACTCAAGGTTCGGATTTAAATGGCTCGAAATGGTTCAGAATGGATTAAAATCGGTTTACGCGATTAAATCGAAAATCGCCGAAAAAATAATTAAATAAACGAAATAATTCTAACTAAGCCATCCCCAATAATAATAAAATAAAATCATACATCTAAAAATACAATAATAAGGCAGATTGAACATACAAGGCATAAACGAGCCATTTAATAAATAATTGAAGGCAAGTAGATAAATTCAAGTAATAGAGGTAATAATAATAAATAAAAGAAAGCAAATAAATAAATAAGGCACATAAATCACATAAAACGAAAGGGACAATACACGAGGGGTGTTACACTCTTGACGCTTCAGCTCCGAGGCAACCGCGACGAGGCACAGGACCCGTGCGAATTTCGGTGACGCCTGTAGCGTGCAACGCGCACGCCTAGTGAGACCTGCGCCCGACGCGCAGCGACCCTTGCAATCCCCGGTGACCCACATAAGCAGCACTCGACGCGCACGCAGACCCGAGGCAACGCCCCGATGCGCGACGTGCCAGCACCCTGCAGACCCGCGCGACCCGACCAGCTCTCGATCGACGTCCGGCGACCGGCGATCAACCGAGGAGGCCAAGTCCGGCTGCCCAACGGACTCTGCGGATCAGACGATCTCCTATAGAGGAAATCTACAACGTCTCAGAATCGACAATTTTTTAAACCGTAAGTCCTAATTCTAACTATAGATTCCGCTGCGTTAGGATTCAATTCGTTAGATTCAGATGTGCATATCGATGACGTTCTTTATAGAACTCAACAGAGATGTCATCACCGCCTTCCACACGTCCTTTCAGGCCTCCTCGAGTTACAACGCAAAGGTTCAAGCACTTCAGACCGGTCTTCAGATTATTACACGCTTCTCTACACACATTTGGATCGAGTTGGACATAGTTGTTTTTGCCATCCCCCCTAATTTGGGTCACCAGGGCTCGTGATTGATAACACCCACTCATGCGCATCAGAGCTATACTTAAGTCGGATCATCATCGGATCATGCACATCTTCCGTGAGGGGAACCAACCTGCAGATTTTCTCGTCGAACTTGAAGCCACCATCCGCAAGGCGCACATTCCAAATTGATGTCACCCTGTCTGCGCACGTTGTGCGAATGGATTAGCTTGATTGAATATCATTCTGTTTACATTAGACTATATATGTTTTATTTATTGTTTTGGCCCACACCATGGTGCGGATTGAGGCTTTTCTTGGCATCTATTAGCACAGAGTGAGACTTTTCGCGTTTGTTTTTCCGTTCTGTTTTTGCTTTGGTATGGTACCTTGTACACTGTTAATATTCTTGATTCAGTTGGGGTTTTGATATATGCACGAGTTGGGGATTAGATCAGATCTTAATCCCCCACTCTTTAGGGAGTTGTTCTTTAAAAAAAAAAAAAACATTTCCAAACACCGATCTATTTGATCATCAACAGTAAGGAATCTTGGGAAAACCATTCCAAAAGCAACAATTCTGTATACTATGCCAGATTAAAAAAGTTCAGCAACAGAATTACCAAAGAAAAACATATAACAAGATAAATACATCTCGTATGGTCTCCAGAGACCAATTGAACCATCAACCAAGAAAAAAATTCGGAAACACAAAAGCAGTCGGGTCTCACTCGACATCTTTACAAATCAAACACGAACAAAGCATCCCATAAAACACGACGCATTTACTTTCAAATCAAAAAACTTCATCGACGCGCGTCTACACCTTCCCCTTTCATCTTCATATACATCACTTCCAACTCATCCTCCTCAACTCCACGAGACACCATCACATACTTATTTCTTTAACGTTAAACGAAAAAGGAAAAGAAATTGCTTGATTCATAAACAAAATCCATGACCATAAGAGAACAGAGAACTCACCCATTATGGCCGTCAAAAGTTCCCAGAGCATTGTCCTGGACCTGGCGTCTCTTTTCCCGCCAATTCTCACCCCACATCTTAGCCTCAGCCACTGCCCTTTCCCTCTCCAAGTCTTTGGTTGATTTTGTGGGGTTTTCACGGGGAGAGTCATCCCTCTCGGACCCTTCAAGGTCCCACTTGCGGCCGGACCCACCACTTTCCTCATTCCTCAACAGTTTCCCGCCTTTCTCATCCCTATCTTTACAGTTCCCTTGTGTGGGGTCGTACGCCTGGTTTGCCAGGTAGGATAGGGCAGTCACAACGTCCCCTATTAGAGGCCGTGCTGCTGCCTGTTCCTGGGTGCACATTGAGGCCACCGCCAGAGCTTGGTAAAGCCCACGCATGGGGAACTTACCTTGCAGCCTTGGGTCCGCAAGCTTCGCAAACTTCCGTCGGTCATTGAACAATGGTCGTGCCTGCATTAGCAGGAAAAACAAGGATATGGTATTAGTTATTTTAATGTAGATTAAAAAAAAAAATAGATTACTCCTCGTCTTTTTTTTTTTATTTATTTATTATTTTTTTGCTCGTCTTGTCTTGCCTACTTTACTTTACAACGAGAAATTCGAACACAAAATACGTATTCTCATGATTTGTATCCCCGAGTCACTTAGAAATTGCAAAATTGGATTATGAAATCGCGAAGTATAGTTCCCTATCCACGATTCTGCTATTTACTGGAATCATTTTATTGGAATACGACTGGATAGGAACAATAATCAATTTTTGCTCGAATGGTTTGTAGGGGAACCCTCAATTTTATTTTATTTTTTTAAATATTTACAAATGACCAAACCAAAAGGTGGGGATATATGTAAATATTCAAGAGAAGTCAGGGTGTATAATATAGTTAAAATATTAATGGCCTCGGCAAATTTCATCATGCCGACTAATGATCAGAGACAAAATGTAAAAACAAACAGTGGAGTTTAGGGTTTACCCAGGCGACGAGGTTTTGTTCCCCCTGAGGAAGGGTGCTGTCGATTGCTTTACGTCCAGTGATGAGCTCCAAAAACACGACCCCAAAGCTGTAAACGTCAGACTTAACGGTCAACTGACCAGTCATGGCGTATTCGGGAGCACAATATCCATAGGTCCCCATGACTCTGGTGGACACATGCGACTTGTCTCCAGTGGGGCCCAGCTTTGCAAGCCCAAAGTCCGAAAGCTTTGGGGAAAACCCTTCGCCAAGCAATATGTTGGATGACTTAAAATCACGATAAATCACTGGGGGTTTCGCCTTGTCATGGAGATACTCGAGCCCCCGAGCAGCACCGGCTGCTATCTTCATTCTCGTGTTCCAATCGAGGGCTTCCTTTTCAATCGGGAGATCTATGGATTGATTGTTTAATGACGTTTGAGCATCAATTCAGTTATGTAAAGATTACAGTAACAAAAACAAGAAGGAAATTGTATGAGAAAATACAATTTATATCACAACATGGTTAAGAAATGTCATAACAAACAAGGTGCTTTAATGACCATATTAAGCTTATTGTGGTGCCCTTACGGATGTCAGTCGCATGTTTTTACACTGTAAAACTAAACAGAAGCATATTATAAAGCAAACACACACATATAGATATTAATGCCAATACGAATGGTTTTCGTTTTGTATCAGCTCATTTTCACAAGAAATTAAAACGGAATATAACACAGGCATAGCTCCAATTCTGCATTACTACATCAAATGTTGATAATTTTAGTATGTCATAAGCGACTAAAAACTAAATCACAGGGAACTAGGTCCCAGCATAAAAAGTAAACACCTGGAATCAAATTGCTATAGCTTTGGAAGGGGTGCATATAGCACTAAAATTGCACAAAAACAAAAATCGAAACTACTTTGTGATAGAATTATTATAGTCTGAAATTGTCGATAATTTTCAATTTCATAGTCTAAAACGCAAATGTTGGAAATTCTCAATGTAAAAGCATTCCACTTAGAGATCCTGAACTATTTCGTGCATATTAGAAATACAATAATTTGAGAAATAAGTATAAAGCCAGTTTCTTTAAGACAAATTACTTCCTCAAAGACAATTCGCTCTTCTGAGAAACCGTTCCATTCCTTTTTTTTCCTTTTGTACTTTCGTTAGCCAGTATTACACCCCAAGAACTAATTGGCTTGTTTGCAGAAGAACAAATGAAATCATATATTTTGCAACTCCACAATAAAAATCAGGTCATGAAACAACCGCAAATAAGCACCATTTTCTAGACACTACTGTGCAACAGATGAGTAAAATAAGAAGTTATGAAACAAAATCTAGGCAAGAATACTGGAAACAGTTACCATGGAGGTGGTCTTCTAATGATCCCAAGGGCATAAACTCGTAGACGAGCAGTCTCTGATCCCCATCAGCACAGTAACCCATCAAGCTCACTAAATTAGGATGGTGTAAAAGGCTAAGCATCAAAACCTCAACCAGGAACTCTCTATTACCCTGAAGCCCATTCCTATCCAACTGCTTAACAGCTACAGCCTGCAAAATCACGTAAAAGAATATATATAAAAGCAGGAAGAAATGCTTATACCATCCGACCACACACACAAACACAGTCAGAGAAATAGATAGGATGAGAAGTCATATAGTATTGTTTAACATATTAGTGAAGGAAGAGGAGTTATATCATGGTGATCTGCATGTTTCCCAGACTGAAAAAACCTCACAATATCCCCATATTAATCATATGATGATTTTAAAATTTAAGTTACTTGTTCTCTTGCATAAGGAGCCAACAACACATCTCACTAACATATACGCTAACAGGACAATTCAACATATGAATACCTATGCAAAAAGCTTTTTCCAATTCGCCAACAGCAAAAACATTGATGTTTATAGAAAATGTTGAGTTCTATTTGGTTTACATGGCAACAATATTTGTCTGATTCAAGAATAAGGTTCATCCCACTGGAAAATAAATAAATAAATAAATAAAAAGATAAAACAGAAGCCTCCCTCTTGATTCAAAAATTCATATTGATTTTACCTGCCCACTAGGAAGCCTCCCTTTGTACACACGTCCAAAACCTCCCTCTCCTAAGAAACACTCAGGCCTGAAGTTATTAGTAGCGTTAGCAAGCTCACGGAAAGTAAATGTTTGTGCAGCAATCTGAGCATCGGGCAAGTCCTTGGACAGAGGTGCTTCCTTATTTGGTCCCACATTGCTCGTTTTTAACCTGTCTCCACCTGCAAATCACAATCACAACAAACATTGATCTACAGAAATACTTGGACACTTAAAAGATCAAGAGTTGGAAATAGAGATACATGGCAAAAATAACACAGTATACAAGTCAACTGCAAACCGCAATCACAACAAACATTGATCAACCGAAATAATAGGAAACTTAAAAGATCAAGAGTTGGAAATAGAGATACATATACATAGCTAAATAAAAGTGTATATAAGCCGATCTTAATCCATTACGGTGCATCTCGTTATGAGTTAAATAAATCAACCTACTGCTCAACAGACAGTGATACATTTCAAATAGCTGCAAGGGGATCTAATGAAATAATTGAAAAGACACAAAGATACGACTACTCCAACCAAAGAACAAACTGAATAGCAAAATAAATCAAGATAAATTTGATGGCAAGTATAAAATAAAACTAAGTGACAAAAATCACATAGAATCAGAAGTGAACAGTTCATAAAAACAACGTACTTGGATCAGATCAGACCCCAACAATAACATAAAAAACATTAAAAAAGAAATAACGAAAGATAGAAACACACAAGACTTTTAACATATAAGAAGAACGCCAACCAGATGATAACTTCGCTACATTAGGAGGTACAGTTGGATGAACTTCTTTGTGATCGTTACTCTCTTGATAGGAATTGAGCTTTTCCTCTTCTCTTGAGTCGAAACAAGGAAAACAACCCATTTTAAACTCCCTCGCAGATCAAATCCCTGTCGAGCCCTTGAATAAAATTCAGATTCTAATACAAACCGAGTAACCAATCATTTTCTTCAACCAAATCCAATAAATGCACGAAAGGATTGGTGCGTATACTTAAAATTCAATAAAGGTCCAATCTTTTCCCCCAAATAAACAAAAGAATGAAAAGCGAAACAGGAAAGAATATTGAACGCGCAGAGCTGCAACAAGAACAACGGCAAATAAGGAAATAGGTGAACCAATCTAATTTTGACAGAAGGTTTTGATCATAGGCAGTGCGTTGTGAACAGAATTTACGCCAGCTTTGTCCTCGGCTTTTGCTTTCATATAATGTTTACCTAAAACTTCTCTCTCTCCGTCTCCCACACGCACATGACTGAATAAATGAATATATATGTAATGTATGTGCGTTCTGTCGAGTGTAGAGTGTAGACATATATATCTGGTGTGTTGACAATTGACATCCACACTTACCGCACCACCCCATTTGACCAAAATAATTTGCATTCAGTTCACACATTCATCTAACCCCATTTAAAGTCTTTTATTTATTTGTTTTTTTTATCGTTCTTTTATTTATTTGTTATTAACCTTATTACCACCCCATTTGACCAAAATAATTTGCATTCAGTTCACACATTCATCTAACCCCATTTAAAGTCTTTTATTTATTTGTTTTTTTTATCGTTCTTTTATTTATTTGTTATTAACCTTATTACCACCCCATTTGACCAAAATAATTTGCATTCAGTTCACACATTCATCTAACCCATTTAAAGTCTTTTATTTATTTGTTTTTTTTTTTTATCGTTCTTTTATTTATTTGTTATTATTATTAACCTTATTACTGTTGTTATCAGTCTTTCTCGTATACATAACTAGTGTGTGGCCCGTGCGATGTACGGGAAAAAATATTATGATTGTATTATAAATTAAATATATAAATAACATTAATCATGATTTATTCATTATTTTTAAATTAACTCGGGTTGGACACAGTCCGACCGGATGGACCGAAAACCGATTTATAACCAATCTAGTTCGTTTGAATAAAATATTTACTCTCGAATCCGTCAACACCAGTCGGTTGGAATGGTAGGATTGATACGATTTTCTAAATAAATTTTGTTATATTTAAAATTATTTTAAATAAAATTACATATTTAAATAAAATAGAGATTTATAAATTATTTATCAATTAGTTTAAACATTTGTGATATAGCCACATAAGGATAACTCGGTCCAGAAGCTCCTTACTCATCCAGCGAACCACTCGAACTACTCGCATATCGACATGACTCCGTCAACATGCTCAAATCGACTTCCCTAAGGTCGATTCTACTGAGACCAATCAAGAAGAAGCAGAAATTGGTCTAGTCGACTCCCGCAAGTCGACCTTAATCTATCGACTTTCACTAGTCGACATCAATGAAAGAGGAGCAGCAAGAGTACAGAGATGCCTCAAAGAATTAGTCAAGTGTAGCCTCCGAATCCGCACATATCCACGAGTCGACTTCCTAGCTCTCGAGGTCAACCTCACATACCTTGAACAACAAAGATGTGATGACGACTCATCACACTTGTAATATACTTGAAGTTCTACACATTATGAAGGATAAGAAGGAATCTGTTGATGACTCAGCAAAATAAGGGGAGACGAATCGACCGGGGCATTTTGGACCTTCTAGGTCCACCGACTTAGGCATTCTGGGTACTTCAGGTAAATATTCACTCCTATATAAAGGAGGTGAGGTAACCCTAAACCCTAACTCTCATTCATTCCCACTCTCCCCCATAGCTGCTGCGCAGCCTCTCTTCATCACTCTCATACTGACTTGAGCGTCGGAGGCTCTACGCCGAAAACACCTCCGGCGTTGAGTTTTTGCAGGAATCCCACGGTCTAGCGACGGTTGGGAAGCGGTTCAAGCAGATTTGAGCTCACAACCACCGGTTTACTCCAGATCTGGAAGTAGACTCATCATTTGGCGCCGTCTGTGGGGAGTTCTTGAAGGAAGGAAGAGCTTCACACCCAGCTCCGATCTGTTTGCTGATGGCGGAGAAAGAGGGCTTGCAGAGGAACTTGAGCGAGGAATTTAGAGGGACGTGGATGGACAAGAGGCCACCACCGCTCTCCACCACCAAACACCCCGTAATGCAGATGATGGGGATGCCGCCTTTCGGAGGACTTCCACCACCAGGACTGACGTTGGGCGGAGAAACGCCTGTGACTCCAACCGGCGTAAAGCTACAAGTGTTGACCCAGGCAGGAACAAGTCAAAACCCTAACCCAGATGGAGAGAAGGAGCCAACGGAGGTGTCTCGACGCGAGGGAAAACAGATACAGGAGGTACCGGAGCAGACACAATCCCGCGTCGAGGAACAGACTTTAACAATGACAAGGAGTGAGATGCAAAAGATGATTGCTGAAGCCGTGGCTGCCCAGATGAAGCAGATAGCGCAGACCAAGCAGCAGCCTCGAGTCGAGTGCCCACCCCGGGTCGAGCACCAGCCCCGTGTCGAGTACCCCCCTCGAGTCGAGCAGCAGCCGCGTGGCGAGCAACAAGCCCAGTCGAATGTACAACAGAACAGAAGGGTAGATTAAGAGGAATCCTCCATTCGAACTGTTAATCCACAGGCGAGGGACGAGACGTTAGAGCAACTACTGGCACAGGTTCGCGACTTGCAAGCTCGAGTCGATGGGAGGAAGAGCAGAGGAGCAAAAGAACACCCGATGTCGCAGCAGATCCTGAGAGCCGACTTACCCAAAGGCTTCAGGGAGTTGAACATATGGTATGATAGTACCACAGACCCATCTCGACATCTGAGAAGTTTCGAAAATATGGCAGTACTGCATCGCTACAGCGACCCCGTGCAATGTCGCGCTTTCTTGACGACTCTGACAGGGTCGGCCCAGGACTGGTTTCATCAATTACCGGCTGGGTCGATTAGGGATTTTAACGGTTTCAATTCGAGCTTCCTTAACCAATTCGCAAGTGTGAGGGTGCAAGAGAAATTTTACCTCTCGTTGATTAGCATGCAGTAGAAGAAGGGCGAGTCGTTGCGGGAGTATGTGGCAAGATTTACCAAGGCGTGCGTCGAATGCCCAACAGCGACGGAGGAAATCAAATTGGGAGGACTGACGAGGAGATTACTACCAGGGTTGTGTAAGAACTCTTTGGCCAAGCGACCTGGTAGGAGTTTCGATGACGTATTGGGAAGGTGTGCTAAATACATGAATGTCGAGGAGGCCGAAGCCGACTACTTGCAAAGTGTGAAGATGTCTCAAACCGACAGTCGAGACGACAAGAAGGAAAAGAAGGGCCAATCGACAGGAGATAGAAGAGGATCCCCGAGGGCTGATAGGGGTGAAGGCAGATCGAGGGGATGGAGACCAACTCAATATACACCCCTGTCGGCTCCCCACGCAAGAATTCTGGAAGTTATGGTGAGGGAAATCCGTGACGACGTGGTAAGATGGCCGCGGATGAGGAAGGACGGACCCATAAAGCCCAAAAGCAGCTTATACTGTCGATTTCACAAAGATTACGGGCACAACACTGACGACTGTCGACACTTGAAGGACGAGATTGAAAGGTTGATAAAGGCAGGCCACCTGAAGGAGTTCATATACAAAGATCGGGAGAGGTCGAGCAGGAGACGAGAAAGGAGCAAGAGTCCTCGCAAGAGGGCGAGATCACCAGACAAGGAGGAACTCCCACCAAAAAGAGGGGTCATTAACATGATTTTCGGAGGATCGACTGATGGAGATTCCAATCGGGCAAGAAAGGCATATGCTCGGGGCTGATATGCGAAAGTCGAGGTGCAGCAGGTCGACGAGAGTGGACGGTAATGAACTTTGGACCGGCGGACGTTGGTGAAGTCGAAAGGCCGCATAACGACGCTTTGATGATAACGGCGTAGATATCAGGATACGAGGTGCAAAGGGTGTTTGTCGACACCGGGAGTTCTGTGAACGTAATTTTCTACGAATGCCTCAGAAGGATGGAGCTTGACATTGAACTCACACCCCTACACACATCACTCTTCGGATTCAACGGCTCGGAAGTCGCTCCCCTAGGAGAAACTATGCTTGCTGTCGTCCTGGGGGAAGGTGACTTGAGGAAGGTAAAGATGGTGAGATTTGTGGTCGTCGATGTCGAGTCGGCTTATAACGTAATCCTAGGGAGACCAGCGCTCAACGCGTTTCAAGCAGTCGTATCGACCTATCACATGAAGCTGAAGTTTCCCGTAGGAGATCGAGTGGGAGAGGCTCGAGGAGATCAAAAGTTGTCGAGAGCATGTTATCAAATTGCGGTCAAAACCAATCAACGAGCTGAGGTAAGAGAAGGCAAGAGACCGATGACGAGTGAAAAAAGGCCGAGAGGGAATGACCTCGAGCCTCATGGGGAATTGATGGAAATTCAAATCGGAGAATCAAATGACCAAACCACCAAAGTCGGGAGAAAGTTGGAGGACGAGTTGCGAGAACAATTGGTGGGATTGCTGAAAGAATTTAGGGACATATTCGCTTTCTCGCCTGAGGAATTGACGGGAATCGACCCAGAGGTTATGGAACACAAACTCAACGTCGACCCCCTCAGAACACCTATGAAGCAACGACTCAGGCACCATGGCGCCGAAATCGACAAAGCAATCGAAGTCGAGGTGGATAAGTTGCTGAAGGCCAAACATATCAAGGAGATCCAATTCCCCGAATGGATATCTAACACATTTATGGTGAGGAAGGCATTGAACAAGTGGCGTATGTGCATCGATTTCCATGACTTAAACCTGGCGTGCCCTAAAGATCATTACCCTTTACCTAGAATCGACCAGTTAGTCGACTCCACAGCTGGTTGCGAGCTGCTGAGCATGATGGACGCATCTCAAGGATACCACCAAATTCCATTGGCCCCCGAGGATCAAAGCAAAGTAAGTTTTGTGACGAGTAAGGGGACATATTGCTACGTCGTCATGCCCTTTGGCCTAAAGAATGCGGGAGCAACCTACCAGCGGCTGATGGATAGAATGTTCAAACCTCAGATCGGTCAGAATATGCAAGTGTACATCGATGATATCCTGGTAAAGAGAAAATCCTCGACTTCACACCCAGACGACTTAAGGGAAACCTTCAGCACCCTTAGGACGTTTGGGATGAAGTTGAATTCGAGCAAATGTGCCTTTAGAGTGAAAGCAGGATGATTTTTGGGATATGTTGTCACAGAACGAGGAATCGAGGTAAACAGAGACAAGGTGAAGGCCATACTCGACATGGCTCCACCACGAAACATCAGAGAAGTCCAAGTGCTGACGGGAAGGATTGCAGGCTTGAGCAGATTCATCACTCGGGCGGCTGAGAAGAGTTTCCCTTTCTTCAAATTACTCAAGAAAAAGACGGTTTTTAAATGGAGTGACGAGGCGCAGATGGCCTTCGAGAAATTGAAGGAGTTCGTGGGCGAACTGCCCTTGCTGACCAAAC